TGCTTGACTAGTTTACATAATATGTTGCACAATATTATAAAACATAATGACCAAACCAAAACTAAAATCGCACATTATAGCTTAGTCTGTTGAAGTGTCTTTCAAACCAAGTTGACCTCATTTACATGATGTTTCCTCGGTAGAAATACTAAAAGTAGTATTTTAAAGAAGTTGCCACTGACTTCTTTGGAGATCGTTTTTTTAAACATCCAATTCTTGCCTCCAGCCCTGATATTTTATATTTAGATGTGTAAACTTGATCTAAAAGTCATCTTCTTAGGGCTTCCAATGAGGACATGGTGAACTGAAGACATCTGTGAAGAAGCAGAGTCATTATGGGTGAAATTGGTGGCTGGATGCAAGATCTGGGTCAGCAAAAGGAGAGACCATGAAATCACCCAAATCTATTCTGGACAGGGGCATAGTGTGAATTGACAACAGGAACCAATGTTTTGGCGATAAGCAGCTGGGAGTTGAGGGATTCCAACTTTAGGCTTAGTCCAAGAATGATAATACAATCCAGCTAAACTTCAGTTCTTTATTTGCTTATACCATATAGACAGAATCTTGCCAAGCTAAACCTATACTACCCTAATTTAATGGCTATGATTTAATACCCCCAAGACCACTCTCACTAACACTGACAGGGCAAGCTACTAATGTGTAAAATGAAGGCAAACCCCATTTCTTTCTAGCACTGATGATGTTACCTAGTTTGGTAATGAAATATCTGCAGGAAAACACTGAGAGAGCACCAAGAACCCAAAGACAGTGATAAGATGTTAGCATTATTTACACTTGCTGGAATGAAGGGGGAAGTTGTTTCTTTTGTTTCTTTCTCTTTTTATTTTTTATTTTTTCTTTGCACCTTTTTATATTTTGTATCAGTTTTATCTGCACTATGTAATCTTTAATAAATTATATAAAAAGTCTTCTTCTAAAGTATGGTTTAATGATTGAAAACCAAAAGGAAATATTGGGCCTAGGAGTTTCCTGACAACAAGGGGTACCCAGCAGCAGATGAAAAGGCAGAAACATACATGTTCTTTCTCCAGTATGGTAGATAAATATACATTTCTATCTGTACATTTATGCAAATCTGTGTGGGCTTTTGTCTTTCTTTTCAGATGGTGCTGTTAACACTTTTGGTGACATTGCTTGGTGACATTGCTAGCCTGACATTGTTTGGAGTACAGGAAAGGAGCAAGAAAGCACTTTAACAAAAATAAAAAGAGGTTTTAGTTTTAAAGTAGAAAATGCAAGGGAATATTTTCATGATGTCTCATGGAGATGTTTGTTTCATAAGCATGGATCAACTCCAACACTTTATAAGAAACATATGAAGGTTTTGGATCTTAGGCAGGGCTTTGGCCTAAGGCTGCCAATAGAACTGTTTTGTAAGAAAGCTGAAAGACAGCTTTTCTTCTGACAGGCAGTCCAAGGCAGTTCTTATCACCTCTTAGATCTGGACAGGAAAGTTGTTTAAATCACATCTGGCTGCAGAGAAGGAGTCATGCCATTAGGTTAAACAAGGGGGGGGGGGAGGAAAAATGCAGAAGACTTCTGATTCATATCCCAATTTGAATTTTTGCCCAGTTCGTCTTATACTTAGAGCATCTGATTAGTTACATGTGCCCCTTGTCAGAGTATTCATCAAATGTTAAAAGTATAAAAATAACACAGAGAGACTTTCTAAAAAAATAAATAAAACCCATTTCTAGCCTGCCTTCCTTCATTCCCAGACAGTAGAAATAATAGCTTAATTAAATCGGAAGAGGACTATGAAGAGTAATTGAAGGGAAGCTAGGAAAAGAATTTATAGTTACATGCTTTCCCTTGGATGACAAGTCCCTCATCTGCTTTTGGTTTGTATTCCTACCAGACTCATGTCCTAACAGAAACTGAGAACTGGGGATGTTTTCCAAAATGGATAATTTATCTGTGAGGTTGAGTCTCAGATCCTATTCTACCTGTGAGTATCTATTGTAAAAAAGAATAAGAGTATAATTTATTTATTTTGTATCCTGCCATTATTATTTTTACAAAAATAACTCAAGGTGGCAAACATATTCAACACACCTTCCTCCTTCTATTTTCCTCACAACAACAACCCTGTGAGGTGGACTGGACTGAGAGACAATGACTGGCCCATGATTACCCAGCTGGCTTTCATGGCTAAAACTGGATTTGAACATAAGATCTTCTGCTTTCTAGCCTGGCGCTTTAACCACTAGACCAAATCAGGTCTCAATAATAGTTAAAGTTGGTTTTTTAAGTCATCTCCTTTATTTAATTATTTACTATTGATACTGTGTTTAGAATTAGTTCTTCCTGTATCTAGTCCCCATATGGGATTTATTTTAAGATAATGCATTTCTTTGTCAAACTGCTGTGCCATTAAAACATTTCTCCTAATAAACCAAATATAATCCTGCCGTAACTTACACCTTTAGTTCTAGGCCTATTTTGTGAAACAGGAGAGAAACAAGTTTAGTTTTAACATGTAAGATTCTTTTCCTCCACAAGGCTGTATCCATTTGAGATCTATGCCATACTCTTACATCCAGACAACGCCATGCACATAGGTTGGGCATGGGAAACTTAATTCTTACTATAGAGGAGCCACCACAAAAACAATTTTACAATACTTCATCTAGAGCTCTCTAGCGGGCAGTTGTCTATTGAAGGGAATCTATGCTACATTCTAATATTCTCTTGAAACCAGAGCATCATATTATCTTCCCATCACCCCCACTTTTGGATGCAATTAGAGGAGTAGCCTTTCCACAATTCCTATGCAGTCATTTGTGGTCCTCCTCTCACTATTGGGCAATCAAGGGAGGACAGAGAGAGTAAAAGTGCTGTTTTAGCCCTAATGTTTCCACTCTCTGGATGAGCCAGTGGCCTTTTCATCCTCCCCAGCTCACAGTTCAGTAATAAAGATATTTATATGATGCAATAAAACTATGGTGGAGCACAAAGGGGAAGCCTGCTTGCTATGTGGAACTACCTTTGGTAACAGTCCTTTAGATATTTGAAGAAGAGGTTTGCCCAAGAATTGTTGCATAATGCAAATGACAAGATGGCATGGTCCCTGCAGTAGCATGTGTAGAAATCAATTGAATCTTACTATGATATTATCTGCTTCCATTAAACTATAGAACAGCAGATAGCTTAGAGCTAAAAGCAAGTTGTATGACGAATCCAGCTCTGTTTTCCAGCACTTCCTACCCCTGTTACACTGCTGCCATTTGCTATCTGGTTCAGCTAACATTTCAGTTGAATGTAAGGCAAGCCCTAAAAAGTGCCACCATGCCCCCTCTTAGTCTTCTTTATCCTGAGCTAAACATTTCCAGTACTATTCATCAAAGGACCTTACCTTCATCCTCCCTAAATGATGGTGTCCAGAACAAGACATTAGGAGTATTCTGTAGTTGATTCTGAGATTTACATGTACAATGAATATACTACATTATTGACTAAAAGTAGAACTTTGTATTTGTCCCTATGAATTTTATTTCAGCTAATATTTCCATTTTGGCATGGTCTTTGAAGAAGTCAATAATCTTTGCCAGTGATTTCTTATGTTTAGTTGATAAAAAGGTTTAAAGTGGATAAGAAGAATTATGATTTTGCAAATAAGAAAACTATATTTGAATTGACTTTGTGTACCAATGATGAACATGTTGTTGCTAAGTTATATAAGCATTTACTGAAAATGAATATAGAACATGAATATATTAAACATGTAACTTTATGAAATGGGCAAAAAGTTTGGATATATAATGCTTGATCAGTGGGATAATATGCACAGCAAAAGATTGCAATTTACACTGAATTAATCTGATGGGCACCAGGTAGCCTATGCAAATCCTAAGCTCAGAAGTCTCTTACCAAGCTAAACCAATGAAAGATGTACTTTCCTTGGGTTATCTTTTATGTCTGGGAATGACCTTGTTTAGATCAATTGGGCTTTTCTATAAAACAAAACAAAACAAAACTATGAGCACTATATTAATTCCTCTACATGTTGTTCAACTATTTACCTCTCACTGTTTGTCATAACTGTAAGAAATTAGCATGCAAGCAGCACATGATGCCATGGCTGCAATGGATACCAGTCTTTGGAAAACTTCTCATATGTATCCAAATTGGTACCCAGTCAGAAATAAGGCAAACCACTGTCTGTATGTTCTTCTTATGAAAGGAAAGTAGACATGCCGAAGATTTGATTGGTTCAACATTTGTTATATTGAACAAATACATCCAAAGGGTGTTTATTACTAATCTAAAAATGCTATCAGATTGAAAATACCCTCCAGGTGTACTTATAAGTATCTAGCCAGGTGGTTTCTTTCCACAAGCTCAGACATTTAACTCTGAGCATGGAGAGAGGTTTTTTTTTAATGATATTTGGATTAGGAGTCCAATTGTTCCATTTGTTATGCTTGTCCAAATGGCATGGATTGTTAATTTTGTCATTACATGCGTAATGGATTTCTTTAAACATTAATTCATCTGCAACTAATTTAGAAGTTGCTTCCTACGGATGCCAAACTCCCACTCAGTTCAAATACATGGTTCCATATTTTCTAATTCCATCCTAAACATCTCTTTTTAGATGGGAGAAATCGAGTTGGGAAAAGCAGAAACTCAGAAGTTTTTCCACTCCTGTTTTTTCCTCCCTCTCAAGAACTCAAGTTAAGCTGTAAGTATTTGGAGGACTACTGTGCTTCAGAGCATGATTACTGAAGGTTAGAAGGAGTACCACAGCCATCAGAGAATCCCTGTATAAAAGTGTGGTTTGTTTTCAAGATCTCTAGTCAAGGTCCTTGTGTAGTTTAGATGCAGCCACACTGCCCCCAAGATGTGGCTTTGATTTCCATGAGCAACTAGCATTTGTTGTCCCACCCCCTCACTCTCCTGGTTTCATTTCCTGAGGTTTCTGATTTCCTGAGTGAGGGATGGAAATATTCAGAAAAGAGGGTGGCAGTCTGAAGGAGGAGGCTGCATGGAGAAGGGGAGGGAGGGGTCACTTATCATAAATAAAAAGGTCTCCACTTTAGCAGTGTAGAGTGTAGGAACATTGGGAGAAGAGAACCTGCCACATCAGAAAAAGTCCTATGTAACAGAGGGCAGCACAGATCATTATATTACAGTGAGTATGCAGAGCCTAATTAACACCTGTGCACCGGTTAATTGCAAATGCAGTAGCAAAAAAGAAAGAAAAAGGTGTATATATTACAATATTGTGATTATGAATAATTTCAACAGGATAAATTCCAAAGGACTCCCTTTTGCTCTAATAAAATGCAGGGTTGTTAGTGCAAGTAGGTGCTAGAATTAATACTAGAAATATTGGTTTATAATTGTAATAGGAGAGAAAATGAAGAAATGAGAGTGGATCTGAATGTTTTAAATGTGCACATGATATCTATGATAGCACAACTTTTCATTTTCAAATAAAATTTCCTAGGTTTTATTTGAGCCTCAGAATTGAATGATATATTGCTTAGAATTAGGATAAGGAAGATGTGACTCTAATACTGTAGCTGAACTACAATTCCTAAGATACCTTAATATTTGAAGCATGCTGAGTAGGTTGGATGAGAAGTGTAATTCAGCAGCAAGGAAGGTAAGTGATATAAGTTGCTTAAAATGAAAATGGTTTAATATTAGCACATAAAAACTAAGGCTTCTTCATTTTTTAAAAGAACATAGTTTAATTTTCATTAAAATATTGCTGGATATTCCATATTTCCCAAATCATCTTCTCATTTTAGCAACATAGAAAGCTGCCTATAATTAGTCAGGTAATTTTAATGAACACTATTAAGATATATTTCCATTAATTATGAGTCAAACCTGAACACAGCATCATTTTGGCAAAGAAGTTTGTAAATAACAATTTTGTAAAGAACCAATAACAACTCCAAAGCATTGCTTATTGAAGTTAATGAAAATGATGATACAAGCTCATGTGGATCAAAACAGATTTTTCTCTGAAAATTTATCCTGCTTTACTAAACTTTACATTATTTGCTTTGGGAAGTATTAGGCATGCTGTGAGAAAGATGCTTAAAATAAAAATATGGTGTTTAAAAGCCCATGTATATTTCTATACATTTCACAATAAGCATGATAATGGATGGATGGAGGGAGGGATGGATGGACAGACAATCTGAGAGGAAGAAACATTCAGATAAACCACAGATGGTGTTGTGGTGAGCCACTATTTTCTCTCCAAGCATGTCCTGATAACTTCCTCTGAAAGCAAAGATCTGAATAACTCTCCTGTTTGCAAAGAACTCTCCACCACTCTGTGGCTTCTGAAACTTCTCTGAGTCTCCTTGTCCTCTCCCATTCAAAACTCTTCCAATAGCATTGTTTGCCTCTGGACTGTTCCCCCCCCATTACAGTTCTTCTTCTCAGCAGGAGGCCAGGAGAGAGCCACATAGATGCCAGGTTAGCTGTGATACACAATCAGCTCATAAAAATCCATATAGGTAATGTGGAATATAAAGAAGTCCTCACCAAGGCAAGTTAATATTTTAAAGGACATTTTTGCTGTTTTAATCTTGGATATGCAGAAGGAGTGGAAGGAAACCGCTGCAGAAACTTGGAGGACTGTAGGGTATCATGGGCCAATGGCTACCATGATTGCTCTGGTTGGCCATCTGAGTTGCTCAGCAAGCAAGCAAGAGATTGGTGGTCTCAGTGTGATTTTATAAGCAATTTGAAATATTTAGTAGTTTGGGGATTATGGGGAAAGGTAAGAAATATTCTTCCATTCTTATTTACTAGGAATTTTGAATATTATGTACCCAGAATCCCTAATACTGGAATTCTGTACACCTTTCTTCATACACATCCCTATTCATCTCAAGAGGGGAAATGGCCTTGAAAGAAGGTAATTTGGGGAAAAACATTGCATATGGGTAGGTTATATTCTGGATATATGAACACATTCATTTTTATTTACACACAGTTTGAAAGCCTTCATTGCCACTAACTTTGAAAATTCTGAGAATACTTTCTAGATAATCAAGGCAAAATTCGTCTGTTGTTTTATTTCCTTGTTCTTTTATTTTACAGCTCTTCTAGGCTACGGTACTCCTAACAAACTCTGGGCAGGGAATGCCTAGTCCAGCTCCATTCATGAGTTTATTTTATATTACATACTGTACCTCACTACCCACAATAATGATTATGGAGAAGTAGCTGCCAAGTCCCTTTTATTGCATTTTTAAAGAGCTGTGAAATAATAATGGCTTGGCAAAATGCTACAGCAGATGATCCTTGTTGGAAGAGGGTTGCAAGAACCAAGTTGATGTAAAACTTCTCACAAATAGGAAACCAGAAATAGAAATGGGTAGAAGTACAACAAATGACTGAAACCTGGTTGAAAATTCACTATTAATATGATGGAGACATGATGATGCCATATTCACTTTATGTGGAAATTGCTCTTGTGATATTTCTGCTATACCATTTATTTTATTTTATTTATTTTTATAATTTAATTTATACCCCGCCCTTCTCCTCATGGGACTCAGGGCGGCTAACAGCCTCATAAAACTACAATACAAATACAATAATTAAAAGCCGAATTAAAAAGAAATATTTAAATAGGCCGATCAATTAAAATTATCCTTAAAAATCCCCTGAAACTTTAAAATCATTAACAATTAACCATGTCACTGTCTACAAAAACATTAAGATTTTGGTTAGGCAAGGGATTCAGAAACTATGATTTTGGGAAAAATTGTGAATTGATGTCAAGAATCAAGGTTTAGCAAATAATTAAACACTATTTGATTGTGCTTATTGTAGATATCTATATGACTCATAATTGGTCACATTTTTATAGTACAGTATGGCAAGCCACTGGCTTCTCCTACCAAAGATAGCAGTTAAAGAAATCATAGTGTTCCTTGCATAATTTATTTACTATATAGTGCAGATTGGAATTCTGATTTCTTTCTTTGAAATATACCAGGTCTCTGATTGCAAGAACAAACCTTGATGTTTTTCTCTGGTTTTTAAAAAGGGAACAGTCAGAGATCCTAGTTCACAAATCACGATGACATGATGAACAAAAGAAAGAGATTCTATGGCTTACATAGTAATTCTGCCTAACCAAGATCTCTGGTGCTAAATCCTTCCCTTGGTAGCATAATCCACATCTTCCCTAGCAGTCTGTTTACTTCTATATAGACGTACTTTCAGCACTGCACACTTCCCAGCGCCTTTCTTCCCCATATTTCCAATTCTATTTCTCTTACCACATTTTTTTTATCTCCCATTACTTTTCTTTTGTTCCTTTAATTATTAGTTTCGTTGCATAGTAGAGAAAAGCTTTATTGCTACAGAGAGTGTATAGAGTAGGACTTCGGAATAGTATGCTGAACCTGCCTCTAAGGTATGGATCCCTGAACCTGGGATGGCTTTGCTCCTGTGGAATTTTTTTTAGGATGGGAAAAAAGCTAAGATAAATGTTTGCGTTTTAGCCAGCAAACAAAAAGCAGAAAGGATTTTGTGCTCTTAAGTGAACCTTCCTTGTTACCAAAAGAAGATCCCCTCCTTGCACTTCTATTTTGAATATATTATATGAGCAAAAGTTATGGTTGCTTTTGTGATATTTAGATTGGCTCTCCAAAATATAGTAAAACTTTGTTTGGGCTGACTAAAATGGAAAGTCACATCCTTGACTGACTCTATACACACAGACACACAGAGAGAGAAACACACACACACACACACACACACGGACATACAGACAAATCCCATCAGAACATAAAACAAATCTATTAGACAGAACATTACAGTAAAACTTTTCTTAAGAACTAATTTTCCTCGAGGGGGGGGGAGAATTTTCTCTTGGCCTCCACACTGCCAGTAGTTCTGTGGAGAAGATATAAGCTTATCAACTTGGTGATTAGATAACAATGTAAAGTGGAAGACATTGGAATTTTAAGCTTCACTTTGGGGACAACCAGAAATTAAATTGTTATTATATAAAAATAAAAGGGGTGGGGCAGTACTGGATGTGGCTTCCAATCTGCCTCAATAAGTCAACTGAACCTACTCTTAATCAGTTGTTGGGGTTCAACAATGTTTTTGTTGTGCCAAATCCAGAGCCCATGTTGCATAAGCCTTACAATATTAACAAGGGCTTCATTTGCCTTCTTGGGCATATCCCAAACCCAGCGTGATTGAGTTAATAGGTAAATGAGATTTAGAAAAGTATGAAGAGAAGTAACAGTTGAAAGTAACACTGAATTTTCCAAGATGATATGATATGTTAATTTTGAGACAATGAATGTTACGGAAATATGTTCCTTGGGATTTGGGGAACTGCAATCCAACACTTCTGGAGGGGGTCAACTATTGTTATTGATGGAAGGACAGGAAAATCAGTAGTCCACAATAGTTTCTTGATGTTGGGCTTTGTCTGGCATTTTTGTGACTTGTTGAAGGAAGCACTCCAAAAGTGCTAAGTGGGAGCAGGGCAAAAATATAAACTTGGACAAAAATATAAACTTGATTTGATTTCATCTAATGTATTAAGTTATATGGTTATTCTTCAGTCATGTATTTAATAATATTCAGCTTCTGTAATGTTACACGTTATAATGTGGTAGCAATCTTGTGGGGAGGGATTTCCTCTGTGGACTGCTTTCTAGGTTTTCACTGGAGAGACAAGGCCTTGGAGCCTTCAGTTGTGCCCTTCTGACTCAGACAATTAAGCATTCTCTTTTGGAGAAGCCTAATCCTGTCCCCATGGGCCTGGGTTAAACTCTGGAATTCTACCCCATATCCAGCATTTTTGAACATGCAGAGTTAATATCTCACCTTCATTTGAAATGTGAAGCCCTCCCTCTTCTACAGAAAGGGAGGGAAAGAAAAGAAGCCCACTCCCACCACAGGCTGATTAAACCCTCTAGGAGGATATTTTATTACAGTCTTTGAGACACCAAGTGTCAGGCATGCCATTCAGCTGACTCTTGTTTTCCTACTGCTGCTTTTAAAAATACATACTTAATTGCTAAATTTTGCAGCTTGCTTGCAGTTTGGGGCTTGATTCCATACAAACAGAGGGTAAGGCAGGAGCAAAAAGCAAGAGATAAGACGTAAAAATGCGGACCCTCATCATCCTTGCACTCCTGGCTGTTCTCATGGTGACAGCTTTCTGCTATGGTAAGTGATGTCTCCTTATAGTTATTATTGGGGGTTGGGGTGGCAATAGTCTATCATAGAAAGTTGATGTTCTGCACACATTCTCATCTAATTTTATTCTCCCTTCATTGCTACTTATCTCTGTATTATATCTTTCTTCCTTAGTGCCCTTTTTTCCAGTACTTCAGGCTAGATACTTCCTGTCCAGTCCTCAGTTGGAGCTGTGTGTCCATCTAATACAACCATCCCTTTCTGTCCTTACTCCCTAGTAATCCCATCTGTATTTTCAGCTAAGTTAATTGTTTTATCAAGAAGCAATGCAATTTATAAATAAATTGTATGCTTGGAAAATTGCCAAATGCAATTTGCAGAAAATGTGTAAGTTTTTTTTTAATTTAGCTGAATTTCAGCTGTGATGAAAAGAGTCTTAGATTCAATTTGGAGAAATTGATAAGCATATTCTGGTAATCCAGTGTTTGAAGAAAAACCTATCCTGCAGAGATATTCCAAATGTTTCCTTCTGAAGTTTTAGAGATGGCCAGAATATTCAATAAAGAGATATGAATTAAATAGGTAGATAGATAATTTTAGATATTTAGATAGATAAATACATAGATTTTCATTAGATAATGTAATATTTTGGTTGTTGGCTCCATTTACCTGCAGCGTCTAAAGAAACACATGTTTTTTTCAAATGGTTTATATTTGTCTTGCTAAAATAATTTTTGCTCTGTTGACCTTTTGTTGCTAATGTAGCAGGGTCTCCCTTCACCCATTCTTCTTATGGCACAAGAATGACATGATCTAGCCTGATATGAAACATGATACATAAAATTCTGTAAAATGGTTAAGCTGTAATAATTAGATACAATTGATTTCAGTTTGGGCTACATTACCTTTTTTTGGTGTCTTTCATGTCTACAATGTCTTGATGCTTTATTAAAGTTGGACAAGATTTTATAAAATTGCCTAATGTGGAAATAATAGTATTTGGTTTGTGTTATCATGTTATATTTATTTTTAGAATTATGGTGCATTTTATAAAAATAATGTAATAGATGAATCATTTTTTCATTTTGAACTGTCTGAATAAAGGCACTGTAATATTTTAATGTACTTGTATATATTTAGAAATCACAAAATAAGAACTAGCCTTTTAGGCATTGTTCGCTTCAGTAGATAAATTAAAGCATGAGTTTACTTTTTGGTGGGTTATATGTTATGCTAATACACCTTAATTTTGACCCAAATTCACATATTCTTATTGCTCCAATATCATGTCACAATTACACTATATAGTACTAGTCATCAATCCATTTGATTGATAAATTAATTATACCTATATTTATGTTATTACAACACCCACTAATACAAATAGATTTAAAAAACAATAGTTGATTCTACAAGTGGTTGAATCTATTAATTGCCCAAAGCTGAGAATGAAACTTATGTATCAACTAACATGAGAGGATATCTTAATTAGACATCTTTAGAAACAGATTTTGGAACTAAATAAATTTTTGATCTGGTTTAAATGTTTGCATTCTTATAGTATCGTAATTGAATAAGCCACTTTCACTTTATTTTCTTACAGAGTCTCATGAGAGCATCGAATCACATGAATTTACAAGTAAGAAATTGTGGTATATATTACCTGACTTAGTGGTCCCTGAAATGTTTGATTTTGGCAGGGAATCTAAAGTGATCTCTTATTGTCACTTAAAAAGAAAACCAGGGTTTTTTTTCAGCCAATTGAAGGAACACAACCATATCCTTTCCCCATGACTTCAGTCTATCCAAACAGCCCACTCAGATTCTCCCATGCTTTCTTTTCCCATTTGTTCGCTTATCATCTAAGCTTGTGATACTCTCAGGGAGCCAAGTGATTGCAAGTTAACAGCATTAACCATTTATTAGAGAACAAGCTAAGAATAGCATCTGTCATAGAAAGGGTGGCAAGAAATAAAATAAATAATTTTTCCAGAGTGAAAGCCAAGTCTGACATGTCATCCACAGTGGGAAAACACTTCAAGAAGCCCTGCTTATCTATGCCTGCAAAAAGGCCTATTTGAACACTGCCCTATCAGGGCAGAAAAAAATATCCACAGTCCTCCTAGGACTGTATCCAGTGAACTTAATTTCAACGAAGCATTTTAAAGATTGGATTGTTCAATTCTTAACCATTAGGAGATGGGGGGATGGTAGGCTCATTGGAAGAATTATAAACAGGGAGAATATTTTAAAAATGGGGACATTTTAATCATATAACACAGATATTCAATATGCAACGTATTTTTACAAGCAACTTTGTCGAAAGATACCGAAAAGAGATCTTTGTTGAAAAAACTCTTGTAAACCCGTTTAGATCCAAAATTCATTTTTATCCATAATCAGTTCAAAGGAAGCTAGTTTTACACAACATAAAACTTATTTTTAGTTTTTAAAATTACATACCAATCTTTAGGATGTCCTTGGGGATCTTGCCAGTTTAACATTCCATTTGCCTCCTAGTCACCTCCTTGGAACAAGTTAATATTATGGATTATATCAAGGGGTGGTCTTCTTCCCCCAAATACTTTTTTGTTCTCTACTATCCCCTTCTTTAAGCAGAAAACTGGATTTTTCTGTGCCAAGGGAAGTACAAAGCAATCATTCTCTACCTTTTTCTGCACAAATAATAGAGCACAGTTAAGAACGAGAGATGAAAATAGAGAATAAGTTCCATTATTCCCAATTTCTCCTTTAGGCAATGAGGAAGGGCTACTGAAGATGAAAAGAAAACAGAAGACACATTTTTCTTCTCAGTTCTAAGGAGTCAACTACACACAACACTAGTCTATTAAAATATCTGGCCTCTTTTGCATCTGGCTTCTTCCTGCTTTTCTATTTCTTTTAAATAAAGAAGCTTGCCATGTAATACAATAAATGGTACTAAAGTCAGTTTAGATCCCAAAATAACTTATTTGTCAATATTCTCATTCAGAATCTTACCATCATTTGTCTAATCATAAGTCCTTCACCTTGAGTGATCATAGAATATTGTCATGAAAGACTGGTGATTGCTGCTCTCTCTCAACTAGAGAGAGATCTGATTGTTACTGAAATGCTTTAAATACTGGAACTATTTCAAAACATTGGAGAAGAAAATGAGAAAAATAATCCAGGGGAGATGGGAAGTTAAGAAATATGAAAAATAAATAAATAATTGTGCTTCATGTTCTGGAGATAGCAAATTACTGGAAAATCAGAACATAAGAACTTAACATAAACTTTACACACACACACTGACAACAAAAGAAAAGGATGAAACTTGAAGAATAAAATTTAGAATATGGGAACTATTAAGTGAAAAGTTTCTCTCAGCTCTATACTTTGCTCAAATGCAGGGTCAAAAACCTGAAAGGTTTCTTTTTTCTTGTGTTCGCGTGTTGGCTCCCCAAAGCATCAGAAAGTTGGACTAGATAGATCTTTGCTCTCATTCATCTGGACTCTTGCATTCTTATGTAACAGGATTTGCACTAAAATAAACAATCCACCCTCAGATACTTTGCGTAGGCGGGGTGAATGAGTTGGAAACTCCCGTGGAAAATCATGCAACAGAGAAGCCATTTGTTTTTATTAATAACAGAAGGCCTGCACTAAACAGAAGAAAATGAACACAGGGTGGATGGGGTGTGTGTGTACATAGAGCTATTATCTTTTGATTCATATATTATGACTATGATATATATCAGCAAGTATTAACTACTTATCTCTTTCCCACCAGGTCCTTTCCTTAATAGAAGGTATGCCAACGTCTTTATGAGACCCCCACCAGACAACAGGAGAAACTTTTATTGGCACGAAAGGTATGCTTCATTAGAATTCAGGATCATTCAGAACAAATGGGAAAATTCATCATCCTGGTGTCTTGATGCTGGCTCCCAGCTTTTATCATCCAAATCAATTATGGGAGCTGAACTCAAATTATATGAAAGTCTTGCTTAATAAGACTTGCTTTGAGGAAAAACTTCTCTTCCTCAAAAGAATGCTGACTTTCATTTGGAACAAGTCATGGGAAGAAAATATCCAGAAATGTTTACTGTTGATACACATGTATTCTGTGCATAGCTGAGAACCACTAAGAGCCAAAGTACAACAGACATACTGTACAATGTTCGGGAGTCACAGGTTGGCATAGTCAATCAGTTCTGCAATTTACCAATAATCCTATTCTCATCATTGCATTTAGCTCTCTTATCCTTTATTCTTTTTCTAGTGCCATTTCTTCTTAACAGTATCTCCAGCCACTATTACAGTGATATAAAGCCTGTAGGAGCATGCTAGGCAGCCAATTGCTGCTTAGAGGCTATGCGGTTGTTTTTTTTTTTTTTTAGTTTGAATGGAGATCAACACTATTTTATTTTATTTATTTTATTTTGGTTTGATGGACATCAACACTATGGTCATGATACATAATTGGGAAAGATAGTTCCCATAGATACCTTCTTCTCTGGTTTTCTGTCAAATGTTGACAACTTCGTTTCTGAGAATTCCAGAAAATACAGACTGTCTTTGATGTAACCTATTGGCTGTGACTGCCCACGCTATTCTAATTTAGACATGGGAAATTTGATACCTTCCAGATGTTGTTGAATATCCAGCTTTCCTGGCTGTTGGCTACCTAGGTGTGGCTCATGGCTTCAACATTTAGTTAGTACGGGGTTCTCCCCTTGCTCTAAAGCCAATTCACAAGTTTGTTTTTAATGGGTAGATTCTACTCACAGAGATTTTAGCTGTTACTTTGGGAAACATCTGCCCTGTTTTAGAATCCTAAAAAGATTATTAAAATGCTTTCTATGGGAAAATATGTCAATAAAACTGGAAATCATTTAAAACATGCATGGCACAGGAAGAAAAGTAGGGTAAGTCGGTACTTAATGGCTTACCAAAGGTTCACAGGCAATTTCTCTCCACTCTGTCCCCAATCTGCTCTTTCATCATCTTCTCCTGCTTCTGTGGACAGGATCCGGGAGCGTAGGAAGACTACCCAGGAACTCCAACGGGAGGAATGTGAAGATTATAATCCCTGTGAACGTTATGCTATGCGCCATGGCTACGTTGCTGCCTACAAACGGTTTTTTGGGCAGAGGAGAGGAGAGTGAAACCATTACTTTCCCAGTGCCTGGAGCCTGGATTTTGTAGCTACAAAGAGTGACCTCTTTGAAATGTATTGTTGCTTCTTAACTGCATATTATTCCACCTCTCGCTTCATTCTTTTGTAGCCAGTGATTTCTAGTATCTGTTAATTAGCACAATGCTGATGTAATGGTGGTTGGGCAGAGAAAGGATGCAGATTTTCTTATGAAATAAACAATATGGTTTGTTCATGAGTTTTTTGTGTGCTATTTGTGTGTCAAACATGAAGGTGCATATTTTTACACACTTATTTAGAATTTAATATATCTAATAAAATACTTTGTGCTGTATTTTAAAATATTTATTAATGAAATAAAGGAGTCAACAGCACAATATCTTCATGATGCTCTAAAATATCTAGGACAGTCTCTAAATTTTAAATGTATTTTTTAAAGTGTAAAATTAGGTAAAATCTCAGAAGATAAGCAAATCTTCCACACAAGTGCTCAGTGTTCCTCCAGGGTTCTTACATGAGATTGTGCAAGGATTTGGAATTGGGAAAGAATGTCAAAATCTCACAGGATTGATGATCCCAGGTGAAATTGTTTGGTTTTGTGGCTGTGCCATTGAATCAGTGTTGACTCCTAGCAACTGTTTTGACTGATCCCTGCAGTTTTAGGCATCCTAGATTTTTATTATTGTTTTGACTGTCCTGAAAAGTTTTTGATCTTATTATATACCAATACTAATAGATATTGATTTTTACAACTTTATCCAAGCATTACAGTAGGTTAGTGATTATTGCCACAACCTTAAATGTATCCATGACTAATTGCCCTTAGCTTTCAATTGTCATGGTTCCGATAGATGAAACCTATCAAAAGGTTTCAAGGCAAGAATTCTTCCTCAAATAACATTTTATTCAGGAAACAAAGTATTGGCACTACATAGTTAAACCCAAAAGCTAGATTCCCTTACCCCAGATACAAAGTAACAAATTGCAATTCCCACCCCCAATAAGCTGTCATAAATCACATTCTCCAATTAGCCTGAAACGCAGGTCTTCTCTCCAGCTCCTCAGCCCACCAAAATGTTATCAGTTCGTCCTTGGGTTCCCACAAAGCAGCATTATTATTATGGCTAGCTGAGCTCAAGCATTCATCCCAACCCCCCCTCTGCACCTGATCTCTAAATAGAAGAAAAAGCATGTTAAAAGCAAAGCGAAAATGGATGTGATTTTCACCAGTTGTCAGAGCGGGAACATCCAATGTTTACAGCGTTGACATCAATATGGTATTAAAAGGCAACCTCCCTGAAATTAAATCCATTAATTCTTGAAAGTATCCAGATGGGTATGACCAAAGAGATATAATGTTGTTTGTTTCACATTCCAAACGAAACAATGAGATTAGTCATCCCCATCTTTAAGATTGCATAAGCCATCCAGGGAAACATTCATTTATATAACATACCATGTTGATGTGGTATGTTTATTAGTGTAAAAGAAATGGGTACAGTACCAAAGCTGGCATCAGTCATTAGTGATTAGGTTAATATATTTGCAGCCCACTACTGTCCACTGCAATTTGAATTCTTTCCTTCAGTTCAACTCAGTTTATTGTCATAGACCAGTATAGGTGATCAAAAAAACAAAGTTTAAGATAGGAGTTAAAATACATTTGTAAAACAGCCCAATTAACATCTATAAGTGAAGTCCAGGATGCAGCCTATATTAAATCATAATGTAAAAACTAATATATTAAATACTATAACATGTAAAATTAATATCTAAAACTATTAATATCAACAAAGTTATAATATCTAAAATTTAAATGAATTATAGTTACAAATAATGCACTGTGGAAGATTGGTTCATCAGGATGCGATGGATCTTCCATGCTGCTGCACAAAATGTAGCTACATGCGCTGTAACAAATAGTACTTCATTTACAAGCAGCATCTGGGCATAGGTCAAATCTGAGCAGCTATGATATTTACTAAACTAGAGGTAGTATGAATCTGGTTCAGATATGTCCATAAAAGGAGCAATGACGAAAAACACTTCTATTAATGCCAATAAAAGGGGGGCATAAAGAAGATAATAGAAGGATAAATAATAAAGTTACAGCCATACTATATGGGCAATATGACATTGACAGCATTGAGAAATTAGGTGTTCAGCAGAGTGATGGCACAAGGGAAAAAACTGTCCCTGTGTCTAGTTGTTTTGTCCTGCAATACCCTATAGTGCTGTCTCAAGGTAAGGAGTTGAAACAGTTTATGTCCAGGATGTGAGGGGTCTGTAGATATCTTCTCAGCCCTCCTTTGACCTGTGCAATATACAGGTCTGCTATGGAAAACAGGATGGTTGTAATTGCTCTTTCTGCCACCTTAACTATCTGTTGGAGTCTGTACCTGTTCTGTTTCTTACCAGTTACAGAAGTACAAATGATAGACTCAATAATTCCTCAGTAAAACTGTGTCAATAGCTGTTGGGGCTGTCTGAACCTCCTGAGTTGACACAGGAAGAATATTCCTTGTTGTATCTTTTTAATGATGGTTCTAATGTTTAGTGTACATTTCAAGAAGTTAAGCTTTAATCAAAGGTTCATAGAAGTTAGCCACATTTTGACTCCACTTTTATCATACTTGTCTCTAGTTGATATGTGAGTTTGAGACACTGCAAGGTATCTAGAGAGCCACTCTGATAAATTTGTTTATATCCTCTCCAGCGGGATGAAACATGAAGCTGGGGGGAGGACAACTAGAGTCCCATAAAGGAGTTGGGCTAGTACTTTTTCTTTAAAGATGGCTATCTCAAAAGGAGCATTTACGCTTATAAAATATATGCACTATTCAAATATTTAGTCTTAATCTGTGGTGGGTTCTTTAGCAAATAACAAAAACATATACAGTAGAAGCAAGGTAACATAGACAAATCAGCAAAAATGGGTGCTATGAAATAGTTAATTTATTATTAAGCATATTAGACTACCTGCATTAGTATTGTCCTTATGATCTCTCTCTCTCTCTCTCTCTCTCTCTCTCTCTCTGTAGTGTAAGTCTAAAAGAAATCTGGAAATCTGACATTATGGCAGAACAATATATTATTTATTCACTGCATTCCCTAGAAGTCTCATGCAGAATATGAACAGAGTTCAGAGGATCCAATTTTTTGGACATTGCTTTTCATCATGCAAAGTGTGCACAAGCTGTAAAACTAGCCATGAAGGCTAAATGCCCAATTTTATGAAACTGCTCATTCACCATTGGTAGGACTGGTAGAGATTGTTCATAAACAGATAGGGGTTTTGCAGCATTTAATAAAATATACTTATTCAAAATGTTTGTGAAGACTGTTCTGTAAATATATAATAATATGGAAAAGCATATTATTATCATGATAGTTCATGCAGACCAGTTAATAGCTACATGAAAAGCAACTGCAATCTGTCTACATACTATCATAACATACCATGTATTTGGCACCAATAGAAGAGATTAGAAGATTTGCAATTGATGTAAATATTATGAATAGAGTGTGGGTTGTGTTGTGGCCAACATTCCAGCAATACAGTTATTAAATACATTTGAAGCAAAACATTTTTATGCTTTGTCCTCAGAGAAATCATTAAATCCTTGTATGCTGTTATGGCACTAGTGTGACTTTTGAAGAATGTATGGTAAGTATGCGACATGAACTGAGACCTTTCAGCAACCTTCATGGATTTATTAGAAGAAAAGCAGCTGTAAAAAGGGCATGATGCCAATTCCATAAGGGGATTACACAGCTGAATACACTGTGTCAGCAAAGAAGCATATATCCAAAACTTTTCAAAAGTTGTGAACTACATCAGGAGCAGGGAACCTATATAGTATGCATGGCCAACATTGAGGAATGCTACCATTTGTAATTCAGCAACATCTATATGGCCGTGGGTTCCTCATCCCTAGTCTACATGAGCCATCTCCATCTGCTAAAATGTTTCCACAGGAAGATTATATTACAAGATAATTCCAATTTCTTATTTCTCTGTCCACATGTATTTTGATCCCCTTCAATCTAACTTCACTTTAGGTTTCATTTTGGTCTAAAGAACAGACTAGAATATTCTGTGACCTGAAGATCAATTTAATTAAGATCAATACCTTCTGGATAAATTTAATTTAATCTGGGTGATAAATTTGAACTATCTGACACAGTAGGAAAATATTGTGAAGCATTATGATTTTTATCCAGGTACAGTACAAATGTAACAACTCTCTTTTGTTTTTGGTTTCCTGTCCTTGGAAAAATCTACCTGACACAGTTGTTGAAGGAAAAGTCTCCATCATGGTACAGTCCAAGCCGGGAATAAACAACATGGTAACTGCTTTAGAAAGAAGGTTGCAGTTTATTGAAGAGGAAAGCCAGACAGAAAGATGGCTCTGGAAGAAAAGAGAGTGAGCATAAGTAGGGAGTGGGTTTTTATACCTTCTTGAGCCTTTTGTTTGGAGTTGTTCCTGTGGCATGAACTTTGACCTGAGTCTGAGTGTGCCTTTCTGGGATTCTGATGGTGGTGGGTTAATCCTATTACGTCCCAAAGGTCAATCCTGCTTCCCTGGGGCTGTGACTGATGACTCTTAAGATTTTTGGTGTGAGGAATTGTTGATTCTAGGGATCTTTCTTCCTAATCCCAGCTTCCTGACTCCAATCTGACAAGATTATCACATCTGCATTTTTGCAGACTTGGTTTCTGTTTGGGACAGAGAGACTTGGGGGTGGGGTTTCTGCTTTTAAAATCCTTTAGGGAAATATATTCTGCCTTTTAAATATTTCCAGAGACATTTCTTTCTTGGTGGGGGGGGGGGGCTGACATCCCACACAGTCAAGGCATAGCCTTGAGTTAGTACTCTTTTTGAGATCTTCAAAATACTGTATATATTTTATGTACCTTCAAATATACTTTTTAATGAATATCACATCAGCTCTGTTCCTGAATAGTGTGAAGTTCTACTTCTGATCATGGCTATATGCAAGGAGATAGGGATAGGCAAATGATGAAATGTACAATGCAAACTCCAGTCCTTTTAATGTGTGATATCACATGCAAGCATTAAGGGTATGACTTGCATCATAATATTACGATGCACAATTGTTTTTTTTACTGTTACAGACACTATACATGCAAATCATTTTCAGAATACACACAGCTCACCTTCACTGCAAGTTCTGTAATCAAAAGGGTCGATTTCAGCCCCTCTTTTTCTCCAG